TTTGGTGTAAATAACCCAATTCAGTATTTATTATTTAGTCTGTAGGAAAGCTATAGAGTTCACAAACTATGGTATACTGTATATCTGAAAATTGATCAGTCCTGAAGTACTGATGGCCAATCTAATCTCTTGAGGCCCAAAAATGTCAGAACAGTACAGATATCCCCCAAATGACCCCTTGTTGCAAAGTAGATAGTCCAACGTATTTCATAAGAGGCATGGCGAGTTTTTTTGAAGTTGTAATTTTTTTGTCATAATTTTTTAGAAAATGAAGAAATTAAAAAAATTATGTTCACAATTTTTTTTTACATACTGTCACCAGTGCAGTACAGCATCAGCATATAACTGGCATGGTGATGATCAGGGACACTGGTGACAGTACGAAAAAAAAAAAATGTATAATTTTTTTTCAATTTTTTTATTTTTTATTAAATTTTGTTCTTTTTTTTAAGATTTTTTTTTTCATATTACACTATGACCAAAGTAGTATAATGTTACCATAAGTAACACAGTACTACTTTGGGGAAGTGATCAGTATTTTTTTTTTTTTATTTGTGATTAGCCCAGCCTGTGCATGTGACCACTGTGACCATTCACAGCTAGATACACTTGTATACAATGGATGGAAGCCATCCATTGTATAAATTGTCATGTGATTTGCTGTGATTGGTCACAGCAGATCACATGGTACTGGCAACGGGCCGGTACACAGGTCTGTCATCGGACATGTCCGAGGTACACAGCCAGTGACAGATCTCACCACAGCGCAGCCCTGTGGGCACGGCAAGGCATGATCCGGTAAGGTATGTCATATGACGCCCTACTAGAGGGACGAGTGGTTCGCCTGGCCGTCATTTTACTATAGGCCGGGCGGGAAGTAGTTAATACAGGGGTCAGCAACCTGAAGCACATAATGCCATCTGACGTGGCACACCATGGCTTGGCTGTACTTGACAGCTCCCTAGGCTGTAATGTAAACTACAACACCCAGCCCACCCACCTCTCTCAAGCTGAGTCATTTTGGTCCTCCTGACTTTTTAACTGTAAAACCAGGCGGATTATTTGTTATGGGTTTTGTTAATGTCTCTGCATTGTTCAAATGTCGTTTGTCTTAGGTTTTTAATAGTTTCTGTCATATTTCAGGTTGTCAGTAAAAATGTAGCTTGTCAGTAAATGTTATAGGTTTTGTCAGTAAAAACAGTCATGGGGGCTTGGCAGCCCTGCTTACCACATCCCCACTGCAACATTCAAGCCTGTATGGTGTTGGCTGGTCTTGGAAATAGAAGGGGCATGATGTCATACCACATGATGTCTACACTATATAAGTCATCTTAGACTCTATTTAACCACACCCCTTTAAGCCACACCCAATATTTAGCGCAAGTCTAGGGCCCAATTTATGATCCTGCACACATGCCCACTGATTTCTTAAAACGCCCCTGCTGCTGTACCCTGTAATTCTGCGAGATACCAGATCTTGACTAAGATTACAAAAGACCCAAGGAACTTTTGGAGGGGAAAAAAAACACATTCTACTGTGTGTGCTGCATGCTGTGGCAAATGGTTGTTATGGTCAGAACCCGAGCTTAGTCTCTCTATACACTGCATGTCTATGCCACAGCCTTTTTACCAACAAAATACTCCTAATTACTGTGTTACAATCGGCAATCTCACAGACACACACATAAACCTCTGGGCATTTAAAAAAAAATGATACAATTTTCCATTATGTTTGCTTTTTGAACACAGAATGATATCACTTTGTCTGTCTAAACCTACCTTAACCACTTGCCTACTGGGCACTTTTATCCCCTTCCTGCCCAGGCCAATTTTCAGCTTTCAGTGCTGTTGCACTTTGAATGACAGTTGAGTGGTCATGCAACACTGTACCCAGCTGAAACTTTTATCATTTTTTCACTCAAATAGAGCTTTCATTTGGTGGTATTTAATCACCACTGGGTGTTTTATTTTTTGCTAAATAAATAAAAAAAGACCAGAAATTTTGCAAAAAAAAAAAAGGGTTTTCTTAGTTTCTATTATATATGTTGCAAACAGGTAATTTTTCTCCTTCACTGATGTGTGTTGATGAGGTTGCATTGATGGGCACTGACAGGCTGCACTGATAAGGCGGCACTGATGAGGTGGAACTGGTGGGCATTGATGAGGAGGCACTGATGAGGCTGTACTGAAATGCAGCCCTGATAGGCGGCAATGATGGGCAATGAAGGGCACTAATAGGCAGCATTGAAAGGTGGCACTGACTGATGGCATTTATAGGTGGCATGACTTGGCATTTATAGGTGGCACTGACTGGCAGTACTGATGGACACAGATTTGCATCACTGCTGGTAACTGATTGGCATTTATAGTCAACACTGCTGGGTACATTTGGGGCTGCACTAATAATCAGGGTACTGATAATCAGTGCCCTGATTATCAGTGTAGATGCTTCCTTTCAGACTTGCCGCTGTGACAGCATGAGATTGGACACTAGTACACTGTGACAGATGTTGATCGTCCACTGGCAGACACCAACAGATGTTGATGTTGTAATGGAACAATATTGCAGATGTTTTTGTGCAATATTACACTGTTACAGATGTTGATGTGACACTGGTATACTGTAACAGAAGTTGATTGGACACTAGTACACTGTGACAGATGTTGATGTGACACTGGTATACTGTAACAGATGTTGATTGGACACTAATACACTGTGACAGAAGTTTTGAGCACTGATACAAATGTTGATGTAACACTTGGCAGGGACAGAGATAGATGGTGCTTGGTGTACTGTGTGGGGCTGGCTGCAATCTGTGTGTTCTCTGCATAACTGAACACTAAAATCATCAGCTATACAAACAGCTGTCATAGGCTACAGCATTGCCCCCCCCCCCCCCCCCTACTGAGCTCAGCAGGAAGCTCTGACACAGAAACACATCTTTATTTACTCTCAGTGATCGCTGTGATTGAACACAGCTATCACATGATTGGGACGGTCAATCACAGCGCCCTTGTCCTGGTCTGTGATGTGCTGTGTCTGGGGGAAACAGCCATTACAGGATCGTGCCGCTGCATGGCCCTGAGGCAGCGCAAGGTGCACATTCTGACAGGACGTTCAGGAATGCCCATTTTGAACGGGAATTCTGGACTACACCTAACTAATCTTAAAAATGTTCCCCCCACCTACACTGACTAACCTGTGTAAGAAAGATATATACAGTTACTTATTCTCAGGCCGCTCCTGTTTGATCCTTTGATCTCCTCTAGGTCAGCCAGTGGTGGCTGCAGGGGAGAGGAGAAAGTGCGCTGACAACACCTACAATACCTAGGAATGGTGATGTCACCCATAGGCTTCAATGGTCCATTGGTTGTCAGTGTTCCCTCTTCTCCCCTGCAGTTGCGACTGGCTGACTCAGGGGAGATCACATGACTGGACTGAAGCAAGTATTTAGATTAGGGTTGCCACCTTTTAAAACCGAACACATATTAATTACACAGGTTCTGGGGCTAATTTAATGCAGGTAAGTCCTAAAGGGAGTTTAATTGTCACCTTAATCAGTCACAGAACCTGTGTAATTAATATGTGTTTGGTTTTAAAGGCATGAGGTGGCAACCCTAATACAGATCTTTCTTACCCAGGTTAGTCAGCAAAGGTTTTAGGAAGGGGGATGGGATATTTTAAGACAAGTTAGGTGCAAGCCTGGAATTCTACTTTAACCGCCTCCTGCCCACCATATAAAGAAATGACGGGAGGGTGGTGGCTCTTATTTTGGGAGGTCATCATATGACCTCCTCCCATTCTAGTTGCGCATGTGCCTCTGGGGTCACACGGCGTGGCGATTGGTGGTGCACTGTGTCCCTGGGATCACCAATCGCAGTAAAAAGCCAATGACACAGGCTCTATCATGTGATCAGCTATGTCCAATCACAGCTGATCACATGTAAATAGGAAATGCTGGTTATTGCCAGTCTTCTTCTCATGCTGACAGGAGAGGAGAGGTAGTAAGCGGCATTCCTTAGAGGGGACATCTACACTGATCATCAGGACACTGATCATCAGTGCCATGATTATCAGTGTAGCCCCATCTGTGCCCATAATTGCCACCTGTCAGTGCCCATCAGTGCCACATATCAGTGCTCATCAGAGCTGCCTGTAAGTGCCACCTATCAGTGCCAGTCATTGCCACCCATCAGTGCCATATATGAGCGATGCCTTTCAGTGCCCATTGGTGATGCCTGTCAATGCCCATCAGTGTTGCCTATCAGTGCCCATCACTGCAGCCTTATTACATCAGTGGAGAAAAAAACTTTTTTAGTTTGTTTAGCAAAAAATAAAAACCCAGTAGCAATTAAATACCAAGAAAAAGCTCAATGTCTTATAAAAATGTAGTTTGGGTGCAGTGTTGCATGACCGCACAATTGTCAAAGTGCGATAGCACTGAAAGCTGAAAATTGGCCTGGGCAGGAAGGAAGTAAAAGTGCTTGGTAGGCAAGTGGTTAAGACCTCTCTGGCAGTGGCATCTCCACCAGAAGGAAAAGCTCCTGGCAGCCTTGAGGGTCACTTGGACACCCATTCTACAGAATCCTGGAAGCATTTGTCTAGTACAAAGCCAGGATCAGACAGTGCTGAAGAATCTGTATAACAAGGTCAGCTGACTGGTACAATGTCACCATGACCTGTTCCCTTCACGTGATGACAGGGCGTGATGGGAAATGCAGTCCTGGCCTAGGGTCATACATTTCCTCATTGGACGAGCGTAACGCGATTCACGCCGGGAAATGTAGTGCGTTCTGACGTTCGGCTATTGCCGCCTGTGATTGGTCGGAGTCAGAGCAGGTATGCTAGGACATGTAGTTTTAGTAGTGACGGTTGCTTTGTGATTGGCCGGCCGGTGAGCGGTGGCTGATGGGCCTTGTAGCGTGTGAGTGGTGTAGGGCCGGATCTCGCGGCGGGTGTTGTAGTGATTCCGGCTGTGTTGGGTGTTCTGGTTCTCTGCATGGCCGGGAGCTGTAGGATTATCAGCGCCTCAATAGCTCAGCTAGTGCTGAGGGGCCGGGGAGCTGCGCTACTGAGGAGAGGAGTGCCCGGGGTACAGAGCTGTCTGCTGGGAAGACTGCCGGGGAGCGTGCAGGCCCCGGGGCTGAGCAGGCCGTACAACGCTGCCTTCTGCACCAACTCACAGGTATGCGAGTGAGACAGGAGGGGGCGCCTTCCACCCCTCTGTTATTCAGGACGGCCACCTTCACTGGCAGCACATGGCTTGTCATAGGGAGAGTACAGCCCTCCTCTGGGAGTGAGGGGAGCTGCCACTGTCACCCCCATACACCTCCATGAGTCCTAGGCACTTATATCTTCACTCGGGGTCCAGTAACTTAACCACTTCAATACCGGGCACTTTCACCCCCTTCCTGCCCAGGCCAGTGTTCAGCTTTCAATGCTGTTTCACTTTGACAATTGCGCGGTCATGCAACACTGTACCCATATGAGATTTTTGGCATTTTCTTTTTTTACAGAGCTTTCTTTCGGTGGTTTTTAATCACTACTGTTTTTGTTTTGTTTTTGTTTTTTTGCTAAACAAACAAAAGACTGAAAATTTTGAAGAAAAACTTTTTTTTGTAGTTTGTTATAAAATTTAGCAAATAAGTAATTTTACTGCTGCGTTGGTGAGGCTGCACTGATGGACACTGCTGGGGCCAGCTCGGGCTGGATGATCAATGCCATATTATCAGTGTAAACAAAGCACTGTCAGGATTTCCAGTTATCAGCTTTCATTTCCTCACACTGTTTCAGCACTAAAGGAGGAAAAAGTCGATAACCATCAATCTGTTTTACACATCCCCCCCCCCCCCCTGCGGGGTCACTCCGATCCCGACTTTGAAATCATGCAACTTACAGGGAAGTCGCACAATTTCAAAGTTGAATGTCATTCTGACTTGCGGTGTGATTTGCAAGACCTCTGCCTACATGTCAGTTTTATTTATTTTAGGTACTTGTATAGCGTCAGTTTACATATATATATTGTACATTCACATCAGTCCCTAACCCTCAAGGGGCGTACAATATAAGGTCACTCTCATACATACACATATTAGGGCAATTTTAGACTGGATCCAATTAACCTACCAGCATGTCTTTGGCGCGTGGGAGGAAACCCACGCAGACAATCTACTTGTCCAGATTAAAAAAAAAATACATTTGAACCAAAAGTGTTTTTGAATCGGAGGTAATTTTAGGAATGTCTGGGGCTTTTAAAATTAAAAGGGTTAATCTCCAAAATAAACAACATCTTGATAACCCCAAACCCCTCATTAGCACTCCTACACATCGGGATCGAGAAACTCCCTCCTTATTCCCGAACAATTATTAGCCACATACTCTTTGCCGCCAAAATTAACATTACCAGATTATGGAACACAAATAATACCCCCTCAATCACTTCATTAACTACAGACCTTAACACCCAATGTCAAATGGAAAAACTATCCGCAATTAATACTTCTTCCTATCACAAATTTAATAACCAATGGACCCGATGGCTAAACCACTCAAAATGTTCTGTACAATCCTGATGACACTTTATTAGTTGAATTACCGCCCAAACCAAGACTGGTATTTCCTCAATTACCCAGTTATTTCCCTTCTCCCTTAATCCTCTCCTCCCCCACCCCCCCTAACAACCCAACTCCCCACCAAGGTTCATCATACATATATGAATACCTCTGATGATATTGCTAAACAAGATCTACACCTCCACCTACCATTGGGTGGAACAACAAAAATGTTTAACTATCGTCTAAAGTAATACTGTATGAATGAACTATATTGCACTTCCTTGATTTTCTCTGAAAAATTTAATAAAAGTATTGAAATATAAAATTAAAAGGGGCTTTATGGCGACTTAAACGTGTGATAATTTTAACATTGTGATGTTTATCTCCTCCTCCCCTCTACCTGTCTACAGCACTGCATTCGGGGACTAGCAGGGAGGGGAGAGACCTTGCAGTGTAATGAGCACCGATTGGGGTGCTTATCAGGAAAGGGGAGTGTCTGGCTTATCCTTTATCCCTTTCGATGCCAGAGCCATTTTTGCGTTTTTTTGTTTTTGCACACGTTTAAAAAATAATTTAAGGCCTGAAGATTACACAAAACCCCCAAACATATTTTCTGAAAGCAGACACCCTAGAGAATAAAATAGTGGTAGTTCCAATTTTTTATGTCACATGATTTTAATGCAGAATTTCAGGAAAAAGTACAAAGCAGTTAATTTTATGTCACAAAAAAAAGCAATAAATGACTTTTTTTTTTTTTGGTAAAATATAAAATACAAGGTTACACCAAATAAATAGATATCCAACATGTCAAAACTTAAATTTGCGACCGCTTGTGAAATGGCGACAAACTTCAGTACCCTGTAATTTCTGTAGGAGACACTTTTAAAGCCCCTTATAGGTCATCAGTATAGTGTTACGGAGGAGGTCTGGTGCGAGAATTATTGCTCTCATTCTGGTGTGCACGGCAATATGTAACGTGTAGATATGTGGAGGGTCTAATTTTTTTTTTTTTTTTGGGGGGGGGGGGGACGGGTGGTGTGATGTGCTTGGATGTTTTACAATTAAGTAAAAAAAAAAAAAAAGTTTTTTTTTTTTTTTTTTTTTTTTTTTTAATTAAATTTTCTTTTTCATCACATAGGGTGCTTTGTCCCCTATGTGATGATTTTTGGTGACAGGGTCTCTTTACTGAGACATCCAAGGTCTAAAACACCCTGGATGCCTCCCCTGAATGTAATGCAGTGCACATGATACTACATTACATTCTTTCCTGGCTTCGATGGCCGGGAAATATTTGAACAGGGACCCGGAAGTGACATCATAATGTCACTTCTGGTGCAGGGCAAGGGGGGGATGTTTCCGTCTCTTTCCTCCTCTCCAGCCGGCGGCGGTGAGCAGGTCCCAGGCCCGCAGATGGGCAAGCGGAGCTCGGGAGACAGTGAGCGGTTCACACGGGGGGAAGCGGAGGCTGGCACTGTATGGAAGCAATCGGTGGCAGTTCTGCCTCCCTAATGTTTCCCCCTGACAGGTAAGCCCTGCTGCTTTCCCGCAGGAGGGCTGAACGATAAAAAAAAAACTACCTGCCCAGTACCCGGAACTACATGTCCCAGGCATCAGGCAATATGAATTCAACATCCCTGAATTGGGTGCGACTTGGCATGCAATTTGCAAGTCTCATGGCATGCATATTGCATGCCAAGTCACACCTAGTGCGACCAGGGTTCTACTCGTGATCAGCTGTGATTTGACACAGCTGATCACATGTTAAAGGGTCACTGCGATCAGCCCTTTACAATGATCTTTGATCGCTGTATCCAAAGGACACAGCAGTCACAGATTGCATCCTAGGCATGTTCTGGGAGGACATCTATAGATGCCCACCCAGAACGAGAGCGCCACGCTGTAGCTTTTGGCTATAGTGCGGTAATGAGATGGTTAAAGTAGAATTCCCGTCTAATCCTAACTATACCTTATGCCCCATATACAAGATCAAAATATTGTACGAAAAATGCCACTTTTAAAGCGATAGTCTAATCGTTAGTGCACAGCAATCATCCAAAGAAAAAAAAAAATAGAAGGGAAAAGCACGAAAATATTTATCGTACGATAATGGATTGTACAATTTTCAGTTAACCAGTACAGTAGTCCGAAAATACAATACAAATAAATGATGTTCAGAATTTTTATTCCGTCGTTTAGGAATTTTTCGTAACTTTAGGAACCTCTTTACTTTTGATATGAGACTAGCATGCAGCAAAAAAGCAGACGATCATTCATCTGATATTCTAAAGTGTATATGGGGATTAAATCTACTCCCACCCCCATTCTAAGCCTATTCTACTCTCTAAATAAAAGGTGTCTATACTTACCTATTCTGAAGTCCCTCTGGTCACCTGATAGTCTCTGAGTGCTGGATTCAGTGTCAGGGGTGTAGAAAAGTTTGAAAAAACTACTTGTCCAAGGACTGAATTGGTGTCCCAATCTACTGGTGCTTCATGACAATCTACTTGTTCAGATCAAAGAAAAAAAAAATACGTTTTAACCAAAACTGTATTTAAATTGAAGGTGCTTTTAGGAATGTCTGGGGCTTTTAAAAACAAAAGGGGCTTTATGGTGACTTAAACGTTTAATATTTGTAACATTGCGCTGTTTATCTCTTCCTCCCTGCCTGTCTCCAGCACCACACCTGGGGACTAGCATGGAGGAGAGAGACCTTGCAGTGCTATGAGCTCCAATTGGCTGCTCATCAGGAAAGGGGAAAGTCAGGCTTTCTAAAAGACCCTGCATGTCTCCCCTGTACTCCACTGGTTGCAATGCAGTGCACATTGGCTCAATGGCCAGGAAATCTGTCAACGGGGACCCGGAAGTGAAGTCAGGACAGGGAGGGGAACGACTGTGTCTTCTCTCCTCCCTCCCCTATACCCGCTGGCACCAGCTGAACCGGTCACAGGCCTGCTGGTGGTCTAGGGGGCAGAGGCTGGCTGTGTAGAAGCAATGGGTGGAATCACCCTAATGCTTCCACCTGACAGGTGAGCCCCACTGTTTCCTACAGCAGGGCTAAAGGTTAAATAAAAACTACTTGCCTGGCGCCTGGAACTACATGTCTCGGGTGATATAAATAGTACATCTCTGAATATAGAGGAGTACTTGCTGATAATGGCTGCAGATTCTGGGAGATTGTCACTTATAGATTTACTATGGGGCATCCATTGTCAGCTGTCCCTCCTCTACACTGAAGCCAGTGTGGGAACCAATAATGTGACCGAACCGGAGCAACTTCAGAATAGGTGAGTTTCTAGATCTTTCCTCTACAGTGTAGCTGTAATAGGTTTAGAATGGGTGAGGGAGTAGGTTTAAGTCTAGTTGGGAGTTAATTGGACTTCCACTTTAAGGCTATGTTCACACTGGTATTGAAAGCTGGAGTTTGGGGCACGTTTTTGACTCTCCCTAAATTCCTAGTCAAGCAGTCTAGAATCAATACTATGGACAGCACTCAGTGCTGTTCACATTATCAAAACATGAACCGTTTGCATCATAGCCTCTTGCAGTGTTTCAAAAATGAAGCTTCATATGGAGTTTGGAAGGTGTTGAAGCATCTCCACTCCTTTGCACGTCTATGGAAACGCACCATAAG